ATACCTGAGAGAACAATTATACTCAACGGCGAACACCTTTGTGTACAGTTGTCTACCCGCAACCTCGGAATCAGGTATTCTTGCACCTTTAACTTCTCTGAACAAGTGGATTACCAGCTGACTAGGACCAGAAAATCAATAGCTAATATAGTACATAAGATCCACATAACCTTAGCCAGAGGAGAACTCTTCAAAATCCTCACTCGCCCCATTTTGGAATAGTGCAGTATCATTTGTGGTAGCAAGAGGGGGAATCTGACAGAGTATCTCTGGAAAGCATACAAAGGTCATTTACCAAAGGTCTGTTAGGCAAGACATCCACTAAGAACTGAACTACCGGGAGCGTTGCCAACAATTCCAGCTCGATCCGCTTTAGTTACGAAGATTGAGACATAACCTGATGCTTCTGTACAACATGATTCATCAAAACGCCCACTGCCATTTGCCCTCCCTAGAATTACGACATAGTTCGACAAGGGAGCCACGCAATAAGGAGTTTACCCTGAGTCTACCCAGGGGAAGGATAAATCTGCGACCTAACTTTTTCCTTATCAGATATGCCGTCCTGTGGAATAAGCTCCCAGTCACAATCAGATCGTGTGAGAACGCAACGGCCTTTCGCGTTAAACTCATCAGTTACTTAGACTTGAGCAAGATTATGACCCTGTTCTCTTGGGAGATATCATTTGATGTTTTGTACCAAGAAGAGACAAATAACATCTAATGAGGAAAAAATTTTTCCTACTGTGACATACCCCTCGTGCCGTTACCAACCACTACTCCAACTAGTGCTCACTGTGTTGAAACCCACCTGTGAGTTAATACAAACCGTTGAAATGGCAAAAGCTATGGAAATCACAAACGTTTACCATGTATGCAAGAACATGAGATATTCTGTAAAATATGATCTGTGCCAAATATGACCACAGTTTCTCACACGATGAGAAATTTGCCTATTATTATTATTATTCGTGCTTTTTACATTATTTTACGTTGAGTGCTAGAATGGCTCATTTCCAACGACGCTGTCGCCCCATCACACGTAGCCGACGGACACGTGCGCGGTATCCGCGGTTCACGTTACTATGGGTTGAGATTAGATAACGGAGGACAATCCCGCAGCGTACCTTGGGAACTCGACTTTAATGTGGGTTCAAGAAGCGTGCGCACTGGTGTATGTATATGATCCGGTCATTCAGCCATAGATACAAGGATGCCTGTCTTAAATAACTGACAAATGAATGCGTGTGTTCTATCTTAGTGGACTGACTGGCCCTCTCTAGCAGCGAGACCACAATACGGAGGGGCATGCATTACGCCTTCAACTTCCTCCCTGCCGGCCAGAAAACGCGGGCTCAAACCTGCATAGGGATCAGGTGACCCTCGAGGTACCCTTAGCCCACGTACGAATGGTGGTGGTTCCGAGGTAGCGAAGTATCTGTACCGCGTACCGGCGTACTGCTGATGCCTGTTTTAGGGAAATCATATTCCTCCATAGGTCCCTCAAGATGGCCCTTAACACTGACAAATAGTATCCACCGGGCGCAGACAACCCTACAATTTGCGCGCTGTTCGTTGAGTGACCAACCCCAGGTCAGCCGATAGTATAACAGAGGAGTACATACAGTGGGATGCTATGGGCTAGTTTAGGATTGATCACTCAACGAACGGTAACATACAGTGGCATTCGTGCCCGTTGGATGCGTTTTGATAGCGTTAAAGGCTATGTTGAAAGATCTATGGAAGGACATGATTTCTTTGAGGAGGAATTTGAATGCTCTATGGAGGCAGTTGACTGAGTACGCTTTATGGACTCTGGAATCACTGGGTCGCTTACAGTGTGCAAATATCCTCTTCTGATGCCTACCGAAATGATTTATTAGGCGATTGCTCCATGTGAACTGGGTCATAATCATGTGCGGTCTATCACCACTGAACAGCGTCAGCAGTAGCAGAGAGAACTGGATAATTGTTAACTAAATTAGAGTGAGAGTACAGAAGTTTTTTTCGCTAACCTGTCGTATCGTGTGCTAGATTGAAAGACAGTAGCGGGGGATCCCAGTTTTACGTGCAACAGACGGTCTGGTGCAAAGTACATAAGAGGCGGCCAACATGCTTCGCAAACACTTCATCCGCAATTTCCAGAGTGAATCATCATTATACCCGCTTTTGACACAGCTCCCATCGTCAGCACGGATAAACCACGCACCGTTCAAGCCAGCCAATGTGATAAAAAGGCTAATGCCATTGCGCGGGCACAGCTCACCTGGCGTGGACGACATCAAGCCGAACGCACTGTAGATAGCGAACATGAACCTTGATGAAACATTAGCTCGGTTCTTTCAACGCTGTCTCGATGGAATGCAGGTTCCCACAATGTGAAAACATGGACTAGTCACACCTATTTACCAAAGCGATAAAAGAATTATCGTCCAACCACTCTTCAGCCAGTGTTATCCAAAGTAAAGGAGCGTATTCATCGCAGAGGCGCTCATGGAATACCTTATGTGCAACATCATAGAGTCACAGTAGCATAGATCCCGCCGAAATCGGTCTTATACTACAAACTTGCTTCTAGCCCGAGCAAGCTGGACAGAATCAACCGATGCCAGAGTGAGAGTCGACGTCGTCTATCTGGACTTCTCGAAAGCGTTCGATCGGTTGGAGCACCGCATTCTCCTGCACAAGCTTCGAAGCTATGGAGTCGGTGACCATGTGCTCGGTTGGATCGGCCACTCCTTCACTCAACGTCAGCTGAATGTGAGAGTCCGTAGCGCAATTTCTGATTTAATTGACGTCCAGTGTGGCGCGCCCAAAGGGTCGGTACTGGGGCCACGGTTATTTCCTAACATTTATTAAGGATCTTGCCAGTGTACTGCAGATGATGTCAAAAGCTGGCATGACATCAAGGCAGCGGATGATCACATGGCATTGCACAGCGATGTCGACAGGGCTTAAGCGTGGTCATCCGATAACCGGCCCCAGTTCAAAGTGGCGAAGTATAAAGCCGTGAGCATACGCCACCAGCTTACCCATGAATATCGACTTGGGGACCAGCAATTATAAGGTGCTTCCCAAGAATCCAACCTCGGGGTGATCGTGCAGTGCGATCTTGGTTCCTCGAAACAGACTGAGAAGGCATCAAAAAGTGACAGTCAACATCTTGGACTCTTACGGAAGGCCTTCGGAAAATTTGAGCCATCAATCTTTCCGTAAATGCTGTACACCTACGTGAGGCCCCACGTGGAATATGCGGTCCAGCCCTGGCGTCCTTGGCGCAAGCACGACGTCGATGTACTTGAAGCTCCACAAGGTAGTGCAACCAAACTCATTAGAAGATTGTTTCATCTCTCCTACCAGCGTAGACTGTAGTCCCTGAGGTTGTACAGTGGTGAATGTCGACGTCAGCAAGGAGATCTCGTCTTGGTTTACTTACTACTGATGAACCCAACTCAGCCGTGTCGCAATCTGTTCCTGCTGAGCCAAAATACCAACCCGAGAGGTCATCAGCTCAAAATGGTTACGCACTACAGTCGGCTTGATTGTCGACGAAATGTTTTCTCCCTCCGTGTGTCCCACGCTTGGAATGCCCTTCTGACTCACGTTATTCTTGCCCATACATTAACGCTATTCAAAAACGCCTTGATGAAACGCTTTCTAACTTTCATTAGTTGATATAGTCCGTTCCACTTGGGGGACGAAGTAACGCAAACCTAACCATGTGCTTAACGGCCCTCTTCGCAACGTGGTGGTGAGGATACATGCAGAAGTGTCCATGTGAGTAGCCTGGAGGTATCTAAACTGGATTAACAGACCACACCAGTCAAATGAAGCAACACAAGAGCGTTGTCGTTTCCATCTTTTATTTTTCACGGAGTTACTGAACTATAACTGCCCTCTATACTACTTTGTGTGTGCATATCCCATTCCCACTTCAAACTATCGTGCAGTAGTGACTTTTAAATGGATAGACGCTTAAAACGATGAGTTACTTATTCGCTGATCCTTTCAAATTTAATTTTTACTCCAACCGTCGTACGGGCCTTGTCAAACACGCCTGTTTACCCGTGAAAAATCGTTGTTCATTACATATTTCAGATAGGAGAGACTCAAGGAGGAGCTAGGGTCATCTGCTCACACAGCCGCCACAGAGTGTGGCGGTTGTTCAAGAGACAGTCAAAAATTACTTAAAATATGTTGTTCTGCCGAACGAAGACTGTCGTTGAACAATGTAGAAAGAAAAGGTAAGGACCTAGGAAGAATGGACGCAGGCAGTACATAATGTGGGAAGAGGATGCCGAACGACTGCACATTCCGAGTTTTCCTCCAGGAATCCAATCTTGGATTGTCCAAGCCCTGGTAGAAACTGCAAAGCAGCGGAATCGCTTAGATACATCACACGACCCTCCATACAGTCTTACTAATCATTCTACGCGGTAATACGACGGTAGAGCTACCCAACTATTTGCAGGGTGTCCAATATATATATATATATATATATATATATATATATATATCGTTTTAAAGGGTCGGAAATAAACGACGCATCTATCTACTTGTACCACAGCAGACTATGCACATGCGTCGACGGGCGACTGCAGATCAGGTTTGGCGAGTCTACACTTAAATGACAAAAGGCTGCCCAGTTCGATGAGGATGGCGACGGACCAAAGGATAGTAGATAAGTGTGCCCACATCCAGACAACTCATGGTGCGCATACACTAAACCAATTGAGTCGCTGGCTCTGACTGTCGAGCCTAAAATGACAAGAGTGGGCCCCAAGATTCTGAGAAGAGGAAGCCGAAACTAAGCCTAGTTGACTCTTAATAAAGCTGATAGATACGGCTTTGAGACACACTTGGAAATTGTCATCTATCGTGTGTAGCTCGGTAATCCGGAGATAAATCAAGGAATCGGGTGATGTGTCCTCGCAATGGACACAATCGGCACAAAAAGCACAGCGTAGTGACACCAGAGGAGAACGACACCGCTAGTTGACCGAATGGAGAGAATCCAAAACAAGTTCACGAGATACCAAAACCAATGAAATTTTTCTTTGGGGCATTCGGATGTCTCGATCAGAGAGAATGGGAACAGAGATGAGATAAATGGTCAACTCTGAGCGAAACAAAAATATAGAAAAAAAAACGTACGAAAAGCTATGGCGGCGGCCGGGGCAACAGTGAACACAACAGGGACTAACGCAAGTAAACCTGAACCACCACAAAAGTTAAACAAAACACAGCCGAGAATCGGAAAAATAAGGGAGGGAGTGTGAACATAGAGGAGTTTCAACTGCGATCAAAAATACGTGGCAAGCCCGGTAGTGTGAAAAGAGTGCAAAGGAACGGTAGTCGCACGTAGAAATCTGATTGAGCGCACAGATGCAATATTGTTCCATATGTGGAATCACAGTATCCAGGGATAAAGCCCCAAGTGTGCATGCACGCGCACTTCGGGGGTCAAAGATACGTCTAGACGCTTAGTGTTACAGCTCGGCTTCTGGATCATAGTCATCTTCGGGAGAGTTGGAAAGAGTTGGGTTGTAGATGGGATTAGCATAGCCACTCATACCGTTTCTAACAGACACCAAAGGGGCAGGAGCCAGTATGGAAGTCAATCCTGCGGTGCCCAGTTCAGTGGGAGGGATAGTGTGAGTCTGAGTATTGACCGGACCGGTAGAGTTCACGTTGTGTCGTAGTTGAGTGGTGGATTTGCGAAACATCACATTCATAGTCGGGTCATTGATTTCGTGGGACGGTAACCCTGACAACGTATCCGGCGGCATGAATTGAATTAAGGACGCTCTAGAACGCTTCCGATGAAACGACGCCGGAGTGAAGAGTCGACGATAGCCGGATCGCGCGTGTTGGAAACATCCACGCCAAGTAGCAATGGCCAAAAGGATAAGGAGAAGCGCGAGCGAAAACAAGAACGATGCAACCAATGCTGGACTGAGCAAACTCGAGTGATATGCTATCGGAAGATCGCAATAAGAAAGATCACAGACCTGTAAAAAGAGAAGAAACAAGTATGGTAGAGAAAATCGAATCGTTTAGTTAAGTTAAACAACTATGATCCGCGCACCGAATTGTGATAGATCCAGCTACGATGACCGGCATCATCAGGACAACAAAAAGCAAAAATGGCGAGAAAAATAGAGTGAGACGAAAGTGGAAGATGAAGAGAAAGTAGGTTGAAACGTTAAGAAACGCATACAGAAAACGCAATGCAGATAAATAACCATGCGATGCACCATGATGCACATGGGCTCCAACCACTGTGCATAATCCCAAGGTTCCCACCGGCGAAGACGGAAAGCGCCAGTGAGATCAAGTATTCCGCTCGATTCCCTCATACATGTGTGCAACGTCATGGACTGGCCACCTCGTAGTTTCGCCCAACTTGTTACAGCCATGGTGTAACGTCCACCGTGAACGTTGAATAACGCGTAGCCAAAGATTCCGAAATCAAAACAAGTCGCATCACAAATACTACCGTACTATTAAAATATATACAGTTGATAATTGGGACATACTTCAATTGTTAAGTATCCCGGTGTATGCAAGTTAACAACAAGGTGTCCGTAAACAATAGGAGGGAATGAGTTGTCTACGCCGGACAATCAAAGGAACAAGTCACCACACCTGAGTGCTACGAGTATTTAGAATAATGGCGTTGACCAATCAATGGATGGTCCAATCACAGAGTGAGAGTTTAATGGCACGCATAAACATGGTGTTTGGACGAGCGACCAGTGAACGGGGGAGGGGGTGTGACACATGCTCCGGGCTGAACGTGTCCTGTTCGGCGAAGAGTAGGGTTGGAGATCCAAGGTCGTCGGTAGCCGCACACGCACGGAAGCAGTGCCGGGGATTAGCATGCACACACAGACACACCTACAACGCTAACCATGGGAATGTAAGGAGGCGCACGTGAACGCTGGTCGATATCCATCAACGATCGGCCAAGGTCTGTAGACTAGACCACGAAGCGAAGAGTAGAAGAATTTCATGGGTAGATAAGCGCGTTACACAGGGTGTATAATGTACGGGCATACGGAGGACATGACCTAGCCAACGTAAGCGATAAAGATGCAGTTAACACTCGAGTGAGGCACCAGAAAGCTGCTCGCCAAAAACCAGCCGGTGGATCTCAGCATTACTCACCCGGTGATCTCACCAGATGTAAGCAATAGTCCGCAAGCGCCAGTGATCAAAAGCGATAAATCGTTTAAAGTCTTCAATACAACTGGCCAGGTCCATGATCAACATAGTAACACCGACCAAGTCGCCAGGTTATACAGCCTACTCATAACTGATTGGCTGACATCATGCTACCTCCACATGTAGTTGCGCCTCTGGAAACTCACACAGACCTTGCTGATACGCGAAATATCCTACTCAGTAATGTGACCGCGAGAGGTGACACGACCACCAAGTGAACCGATCCACCACTTCAGATGGTCGTTCGCTAATAACCGAAACCGGTGGCGTATCGGATTATCCTTACAAAGATGCAAATTACATTCCGAAGCGTGCAAGGTTACACGCCAGTCTATCCAGCGGTGTTCGTATTGCCACTGCGTGAGATCCAAAGAGAGCTATGTTGTCCGCACACTCAAAGTTTGTCAGTCGGTTAACTGGCAGAACATCTACTGCTGAAGAGGCTGAAATGACGGATCCATTTATGATCATTTCGATCATAAAGGTGAAAATGAAGGGAGACATAAGACAACGCTGGTGAATCCCACCCAGTGTGCGCGATCAGTAGATGGCTTTCCGTAGACACTTACCCGTTCTCATGAGTCACGGTAGAGAGACTTCAGTATGAAAAGGAGTTTTCAGGCACTCTCTTCACGGATAGGCAGTGCCAAAATCTGGTGCGATCAAGAGTCGCAAGCAGCTTTCAGGTCAAGAAAAAGCACCATAGTCGTTCGTCTGTGAATGTGTCTCTGCTCTGACACTTGACGAATAGTAATTATGTGTTCGATGCAACCACAACCATAGCGGAAGCCAACTTGACTTTCAATGATTCTGCTCTCAAAAGGACAAGAAAGTCGTTAAAAAATGATATCTGTGAGAAGTTTGGGAACAATAGAAATGAGACTAATGTCTTGATGGCTTTCGTATGAAGTGTGCCGATAGTCACCAGTCTGAAGGTACCTCTTCAGCGTCCAATTTAGCGTTAAGAATAGAGCAGAAAGACCAGAAACAAGTGAGTTCCCTTCGCCTTTCACTAATGACAAATGAAGGAAATCGGAGCAAGCACTTTGCGCTTCGTCCCAGTAGAACAGAGATCCTATCGATTCGTTTCCAAGATAGTGTTATGAAATGCAAAACAGCTGAGGATCGCGTTCACCAACCAACGAAAGATATCATATGAAAAAGAGGTGCAGCGCATGTGGCCGATGCAAAGGGCACTCACTTCAAACAGCGGCGGGTCCAGCTGCACGTAACAACCGTAATCAAAATGTTCCGTTCTTGCGTTGTACCAAAGGGAACAGAAGTGTTCCGCATACGAGGGATTCCCGTCGCCACCAACCTCTTCAGAAGTGTGCACTCGATGTCGCATCCAGTTCGATTCCAAAGGAAAATAAGTCAGATTCGCTGGAACCAGATCCCAACTGAGCAAGAACAAAAGAGATGAACATGTGTGAAAGGTGTTTTGAGGCGAAGCACACAGACAAGGTGCAACTGCTGCAAACGGAACTGACGAATGCAATGATAGACGAACAAGGTCATACAAATGGTGAATAAGTGCCTAATACACTATATAATATGACCGACTTTATAGGAACCGCCTAATGCGGTCAGTAAACCCGAAAAGACTATTTAACGAAAAGTAGAATGAAACTCACCGTAGACAAGGTTTTCCGGTATGAGAGTTTGTGTTGATTGATACAAGTGCACTGGGAGATGCTGCCTGATCGACGCGAGAACAAAACGGCCGAGTGAGCTGGTGGGGAACGGCCTCATGCAATACTGCATTTTTGGCCGGAGCTTGGCAAACGGCAAAGTGATTGACTTCGCATGACAAAGCTGGTTGAATGCTTCCAAGGCCATTGTCACTCAATAAAGATTGGCGCATGTACGGATCGGGGATGAACACGTAGCATCCACGCGGAGAAGATGGTGGAATCAACCAATCCGTGTAGCGTACTGGCTCCGACTGAACATTAGCCCAAGTCCAATTCTTGAAGGAGAAAAGCAAATACTTGTCAAACGTAATTTACTATGGGTCCGTGTCACACTAAGGAGGCCGTGGAAAACTAGGGTACACACACACACGCACATGTGAAACTAACTTCGGTCGCGTACCGCACGAGCATTCACTCGAAGGTCGTAGAAAACAGCTAGCCAGACAATTTGAACGGAGACCCCCGGTAATAAAGCGTGTGATGACATGCACATCGCTGTGGTAGAATACGTCGCACCTATTTAGTTGGGTCAGTCTAAACCGACATGCCATAACTCAAGTTGATTTCAGTGATAATTCATCGCGGTCCACTCTCAGTCAGCAGGCTTTGGCAAGTGTAGAAAAGCACCAGACAGCGCTGTTTCGACCTTCTGGTGCGTCTTCCATCGGACCCCTGCCCGCTTCCGATCCCATGACTTGCGGATGCCAGCAGCTAGTGCCACTAAGTCATGAGTGACAGCCGCGGACCCGCATGATTGACAGTTCACTGTGATATAACCCGGCTCATTTTCCACTGCCATGCCAGTTACGAACTGTGCAGAGAAAACCAGTTAGCCCCAAGAACTAGGACTATCCGCATAGCAACTGGGCATGACACAGTACTTAGAAGCTATACGGACAGATTTGTATAGTACTAATGAGTGGTGGGGATTTTAGTATAATCAAGAGATAATTCATCACGGTCGTTCCCATCAATCCATGCGATACTTCTACTAGGCATCTGTTATCTGTTTATCGTGCTCGACATCAGTCCACCGTATTTTTGCGAATTTATTTGGTCCGGTAACATACTGCAAGTCCACGTGAGAAAAAAATCTGACCAATGCATGCTGATTCACTGAGTATGACGCGTAAACTTCAGCACGGCAAGGTCGATTGCGCAATCATAAGTAGAAAAATGCACCCCAGTGTGCATTGATCCAGTAAAGTTGCGACAAAGCGCAGCAGGGATGGAAACGACCTGCGCTGCGAAGAAATTATGAAACGTGTCTACATCGGGTCCGAGAGACTGATGTCAACAAGGGATTGGGTGCGACCTCTAGGTAAAATAGTGACGCTACAAAACCGTGCGCGTGTAATTAGACGACATCCGACACAAGTAGCAACACGAGAGCGCGTAATTTCGAAAGACATACGCAAACGGCTTGGTTACCACCATCATCATCATTATACACATCAGCTGCAGGTGGAAAAGACCTCAGTTATTGTACCGCAATACTAAAGACAAGAAGAAATACAACAGTGGTACGCCGGCTGAGTCCCCAGTAACGGATGGACATCGTTCCGGAGAGCTAACAGCGGGCTATCATGCAGTAAAAAGTTATATTATGCCTTGCGAACAAGATCGTGATTGGAGGGGGAGGCTAAGCAGGAAGGGATGGACAAAGGAACTCACAACAGACGTCATTGGGGCCGGCTCCAAGCCATATCAGCAAGTGTAGCCAACCAAACGTGTTCATTGTCCTTAGGACCCCAGCCAGGCAGTCGGGATGCATCAACCGACGCCAAGTTCGAAGTGGGGGTTTTCATTTATCTCGATAAAGTCATCGCTTGGCCTCCCCTACTCCTCTTCCAACCTCACCCACAACGCGCAAACAATTCACGTCACGGGAGTCAGGGTGTTGGCATGCGCAACACGTGGCACAACCATCGGAGCCTGGTGTGTGGTATAATGGTGCTGAGCGGTTCACTCGCTCTTCCTGCACCAAATACGCGACGTCGAACACGCTCATTGCTCATGTGGTGCTCCCACCAGACATCAGCTAAGCTGCGAAGGCAGCGATGATCGAATGTGACAAGCCTCTGTATGTCTGTCGACCTGATGGGCCAGGTTTCACAACCATATAGGAGAGTTGAACGGACGGCTGCGTTATAAACTCTGGCCTTCAAAGCGACGGTAATGTCGCATCTGCGCCACAGGTGGCGGAGCCTGGCAAAAGCACCTCGAACTTTTGCTATATGGTTCGTAACCTCATCTTCGATCTCCCGGGCGCTAATAAATCTGCCCAAGTCCCTGAATTTCTGAACGACTTCTAGGAGATAACCACAAAGCGTTAGCGCAGGGGTGGATCCCTGCCAATCTTGGAGAAGTACTTTGCATTTCGATGGAGCAAAGTATAGCCCAAAACAATAGACAGCCAGTGCTAATCGGTCCAGTGCGGCTTGACATGTTTGTGAGCTGTCAGATTAGGACAATATCGTCCGCGTAATCCAAGTCAAGAAGTCGCTCACCAGGAAGTAGCTCCACACCTTCTAGGTTGTGTTCAGCGAACGATGTTTCCATGACTTCCTCAATAGCGAAGTTAAAGAGGAAAGGTGACAACGGGTATCCTTGTTTCAAACCGCAGGAGATTTTGAAGGCCGGAGACAGCTTTCCGTAAGATCTCATTCTGCCTGAGCTACGCGCGTATAATGATCGGATAATATTTACATATTTCTCAGGTACACCTTTCCTGAGTAGACAGTCCCAAAGTGCACGTCTATCCACCGAATCCAATGCACCTTTGATATCAAGAGACACGACAAACGATGGGTCGTCAATAAACGTGGCGGTACTATAACAACTGACGTTAAGTGAAGATGTGGTCGATTCAGCCCCGACCTCGACTAAACCCGGCTTGCTCTTCACGAAGCTGGTTTTCACGAGTGCCAGTCAGCCTGTGGAGAATGACAGATGCAAGCAATTTGGAGGCAATTGAGATCAGACTGATCCCTCTATGACTGTCGCATTCCGAACGGGGCCTCCCTTGAAAATTGGGACAATGACGGAGCGGTTCCAGTCTGTCGGGACAGTCTCCTGCTCCCAAAGTTTCATTAGCAACTCGTGTAAATCATCTACTAGAGCAGCCGCCTCCAAATTTGAAAAGGGCCGGGGGAATCCTATCTGACACTGCGGCCTTATGCCATTTAAACAGCCTGATCTCACGTTCGACTTCTGCCCGTGAGGGCGGATCCAAAGAGGGCCCAGGGAGAAGGGCATTCAATGCCCGAAAAAGAAATCGATAACTCAGGTTGGTTAAATTGCCTTGCAAAGTGTTCAGCCCAATGTTCCAAACGTTTTGACCAGCTGTGGATCGGCTGCCCACACTCGTCGCGTATGGTCTCGCTAACAGCAGGTCTCCTGATACGTGTTTCCCTTATCAAACAGAATAACTTACAATGATTACTAACGGTAGCGGCTGTTTCCAACTCAGAGGCATGATGAAACGACCAGGCTTCGCGGTCTTTCTTCAGGCTAGCACGTAGTTTTGTCCTGAGATTTTTACGAGTCTCATTACATTCGATTTCAGCCGGAATACGTTGGCAAGTACGCTTAAGTTCCAGAGACTGCGTAGAGACCCAATGTCCAATTTGGCAATTTGATTTGCCACATGAAGACATGCCTGCTGATAGTAAAATTTGACGAATATTCGATCAGTGATCTTCCATGGTGTTCAGTTGGCACTTAGTCAGCGCACTTTGATACAAATTCAGAATATCTGGCTTCGCCAGCTAGCTGGTGTCGATCCGTTCAGATCGACATTGTGGACGTGCACCAAAACGCACCCGGAGGTTGGCGCAGACAAGTGCGTGGTCAGAGCCCACGCTGGTGCTCCAGATCGAGCGGCAGTTTTAAACACAGCCTCTTCGACGGTAAGCGATCGCGATATGATCCATTTGTGTCCATGGTCGTTGCGAAGCTGGTGGGCGCCAAGTCACGCTTCTGCGGGTGATGTGTCGAAAGTTTGTGCTCGCGAGAAAGAGACGAGCATCTTCACACAGTTGTAGCAATCGCACACCGTTATCATTACGGGAGCCTACACCATGTCGGCCGCCCAGATGAAGCTCATCCGAGGACAATTATCCGATTTGGGCGTTTAGATCGCCAGCCAACACCACAGTATTCATGTTTCGTCTGTAACGAAGGAGATCGTGAATTTGTTGATAGAAATCATCTTTTAGCTACAGTTTGTAGGGGGCGTAGGCCGAATTGACAAACAGGCACCGTTGGTCACCCGCGCGACTTCGTAGCATGGAACGAAGCAGCTAAGCTAACCGCGCACATCCGACTGTTGACTGGGATCCAATCAATCAGGGCAGCTTCAGCCCGGGGACTCAAAACGATGCCGACACCAGCTTGGCCGGCATTTGAAGCTACATCATCGCCAGACAGGCGCAATGAGAATGTGTCGCCAGTGTCGCATGTGGAGGATCGCAGGGTAATCACGGAGCACACATCTTGCAAGCGGGTTTCTGATAAACAGCAAATATCGATCGATAGGGTTGATAGTGAGCGGGCAAGTGCTGCCTGTTGGCCAATCTGTAGCAAAGTGCGTACGTTGAGGCATGCCACTCTTAGCGAGGACTCCAAAAGGAAACGGATGAACTGACGGTGTCCACTTGGTTGAACATGGACTTATCGACTGGATTGGAGCGAAGCCCTGCGAAAGTGTGTGAGTTGAAACTAGAAGATAAACGTCTAGCAAAGCATGTTGGAGAAGGGTCAAGAATTGGGGGTTGAAAACAGGGGGGGATAAAAGTGAAGCTGGAACGGGACGGTAAAAGTGAAAAAGCGTAAGAGGGGAATAAGAATATGGGAAGGCTTGAGCAGTAGCAACCAAACCCCTATCCACCCTGCTCGATGCAGCAGATAGAGCACCGGTGATTATCCTCTGCGGTGGCCAGAGCATCAAGAAACTGTTTAAAGAGAAATTCATTGTATTGCGTGGACAGGATACTGTCAGGTTGACCAGGCCTAGACATGAGAACGATTAGTGTTCTCAACCAAAGTCTTTGGTTCAAAAACCTGACCACAAGGCAGCGGGATTGGCGTTGGGCTACAAGGAGTCCGTTTTAAGGAATAAGGAGCCACCCTCATTCCAACCCCGGACCTAGAGGACCGGGAGACGGAGTTTGTCTGGCCTCTAACCATTGAGCAATCTGGCATGAGTGGCTCTGAAGGTGCAAACAGCATCATCCAGTATAGCTCAACGGATAACTAAGGCACACAAACCATCGCACCATGGTAAGGTCCCGCCTCATTGCGATGGAAATTCTGTATGAACGTCAACTCATTATCCAAAGTGACATCAGAACAGATCCTGCGGGCCCTTGTGGTTAGACAGGTACCTTGGCCAGACGAAACTGATTCTTCTGAGGGCAGGTGTAATTGTGCAACTACACCTTTGTCCTAGTTTGTCGTTCGTTGCTGGTTCATGCCCTTGGTCGGCACGTGATCGAATCTCATTTGAACTGATCGAATCTACGTTTACGCCCATTGCTATTTCACCCATATGAGGATGAATCACCGAAAACAATTGTTTACTTTCGTTCTTTTGTTCGTGATTATTGCAAACCGACTGCTGACCAACAGGACGGCTGGAGGATGAACGTGCGGTGGCTCGGATGTTTAACTTGCAGCCTTCGTACTCTGATTTTGAGCTCCCGCTCAAACCTGGATTTGGGCGCTCTCGCAGCACCAAAGCGCGAGTACAACCCATCGTGATTGCGGATGGTTTCGGTTTTGCTCTCATTTGAAACCCTCCACTTCGGATACGGTCCCAAGGATCGGAATGACAGAAGTTGACTTCAAAATCAAGCGAAACCACAACTGAGATTGCGTGTCACAATCCATGACACACTGTAGACGCTTCAAAACTCGAAAACCACTCGCGGTTGCGTGGCGGTGAGGCATAAGTGTACCGTGCTGATGCACTTGACATATCATTGGTTCGTGCTCCCAACTCTTCGCGCTACTGGCGAGTCTAAGCAGAGAGCGAGAGACGTCCAACGCCTCCTTTGATGTATGTTGGCTGTCTAACTAAGCCAGGCTAAGACGAACCTTTACGAAAACACGACAAATCCCCTTACCACTTTCTAAGATCCATCATGGATAACTTACTCGTCCTTCTGTAGAAATTCAAAGGCAGGTAATTTGTGGATCAGAGACGAACTGCAGCACAATCCTTTTACCTAGTAGGGCAGACAGGGATTGCTACAGCAATAGCTGCAAATGAGTTGAGACAGTGCAAACTGCTGTCATATTTGTAAGTATAAGTACAGGCAATGTGCCATACTGAGTTAAGGGAACAATATAGGAAAAGCGAGTGAAGGAAGCGGTGACGCATAGATTGGCATAAAACACATAGTGAGCAATCGGTATGCACGGGGAAAGCAAAACCAGTAGCCGGCAAGCGTTCCATGTGAAATGATGAGGGAATGTCGTCAAAGAACGGTGCAAATGTTGACTCACCCTATAACATTCCGGGCAATCCGCTAGAACACGCAAAGCAGACCAGACAGAGGTGTCCGCCGGTAATTCCGCGCCACTGACAGCACGCGGGAGTTGTAGCCAAAAGCGGAGAAAACTCGCTTCAAACACCGACCCGATGGAGAGTAGGCTGACGTTAAAGTCCTCGTAGCTTAAAGCTTTACATCCTTCATTGGCAGACTGCAAATTGGAGTAAGAATTATTAAGTGCAGGTGAAAAGAGGCAGACAACCGAAAATAATCCGTTGAAGAAATGCATTTGGTTGCATCACTGAGCACATATGTTCTGCAGTGCGAGGAGAGGGGAGAACAGTAGATGAAACGGTGACCCGCATCTGTAAGTAAGCCACAGAGAAGCGGAACAGCTTGACAAGTTGATAACTAATTAGTGAAAGTCGAACTTAAGCATCGAATGTCCAAGCGAAGAACAGAGGCAACAACCACGCGTACAGAGTTAGTCTTTGCAAACTATGTGAATTTCGCGTTGTAGATACCGCAGAAATAGCATCCGAAGTATGGCGCCCATGTAAAAGCGCGGATCAGCACATGCAGTAGTGAAGCAGAGCACCAGAGGAACCATTGACACATGGAAGTACGGTGGATTCGGTTGACATCAATAAGGCGACGATGTGATCTATTTGCCAAATGCGACAGCGATTGCATAGCATAGAAACATGAACTATTGATATGGATCGGTAAGCGGGGTCACAATTCAGAAAAATCACACAAAAACAAGACCGAGCAAATCTCGTAGTCAATGTATCAAAAGTACTCAATCAACACAGAAGGAAGATGGTGTACAGCCTACGAAGGCCTTCCGCTCACTCCGATAGTCAGAGTAACGAGACGAAACGGAAAATGAGCATATCTGACTTGACAGGGCAATAGTTTTCATGGGAAACCATAGAGACAACAGTTATGGCACAAGTCAGTGTGAGTTAAACACTGTACAGATCTACTTGAGCCTAATTAGACCTGCACTGCACTTCGGACTGATTTGCATTCAAGTGCAGTGAATTGCGCATCTACCCGAACAGTATTCATCTCCATTGGATTGAAGTTCAACCGATTCTTTTCTCCAACAGAAGAGAAATATTGCGGTAGGTTCATATTCCAACTGCTCACCCCAGTAGAAAGCGTAATACGTACAAGATGTAAATGAAACTGCATGGAACGAGACTGGATGGTCTGCGTATCCCCGTGGTCCAAGGAGCTACATTGGGTGGTCCTTATCAAACGCCTTCAGAGCCAATCATACCAAATAGCACACTCTTCGGGGACTAGGAAGAGGTCGATGACCATGTTCCCTTACAACCTAACCACAGGAGACCACAGGTTGGCTGGTTATACGCTAACAGCACGATTGGCGTAGAGTACGAGCGCCACACACTGTCTCTGACGATGGCAGGACACGACCCGGTGCGCAATCGTTCCCTACCGTCCGCCTCAAGCCAGGCAGCCCATTGCCAACATGAGGTAAACGCGCTCAATCGCACCTACGGTCTAAAAGATGTGAACTGCTTGAAATCCTCCAAGGCTGCGTGTCATGGACCACAAGTAGGTCCCAACGAGTCTCCGCAATGGTATAGAACAAATCTCCTCTCTCGAAATGGACAACTGGAGAACACCGTCTGCTCTCTCGACCGTGTCGACAACACTTTCTACTTCTGGTTTCTCTCGCTCTGCAACGCTTTTCTTTTGCAGTTATGAACGTTTTCCTGGACTAGTAATACATCCTTGGGGTTTGTAATTTAATTGCGATGAATCAAATGACGTCTTTTCTGCCTTATCCGTAGAGTAAAAAACTGCCGCCTACCTCGCAGTTGCTACTATCAATACACGCAACTCGTCCCTCAAACCAATAGTCTCATTTCTCTTGGGTTCGTTTAACGTCTGCACCTCTGGGTCAAATCAACCAACCAGAAGCACTAACTCTCATTCTTCACTCTCTTCGTATTGATGAGTGCTGTGTCTCCGAAACACGTATACGCGATAATGAGGCTGTGACGAATCGTCGACTCCCTGGTTCCGAATCTGCCGACAATGACTACAGGCTTCGTGTCGTTGGCTCAACGCATTTACAGTGTCTGTATCGCCATCAGAAAACATACTGAAAGCAATCGGCTCGCTTGAAAAGCAGTGAACAACTGCATGTGTGCAGTTCCACTTCGAAGAAGGACCGTCTGAAGACAAGATGTCTTTTCATCGCCTTTGCTTAGGTAACTAGTGACTGTAGTTGGGAGGGTATCAAAGACGATCTTTAGCACCAACGTTGGTCTCTTTTCCGCATGGCGAAAAATTCTGATATCGTGATTGTTGCAGATGACATAAATGCCCAAGTGAATCGCACTCTGAGTAACAAGCGGGAAGCAGCTTCGGAGTCGAAGCACGCCGAACAGGCAATGGTGATCGATTCCCGGCAACTGTGCACTGACCACAATCTTTAGATTAGCAGCACTGCTTTCTAACGCAAACATTCACATGGTAGCACCTGGCACCCACCGAATTACTAAATGATCTAGACCCGAACTGACGATAATCCCATCAGCTACAGATGGTGCACATCAGCTCAAGACTGCCGATCAATTTGAGTAAGTGCCTAGATTCTGACCATGTGCTAGTGTGCACAAGCATGGCGTTTATCGTTCGCATTTCAAAGAAGCACCTAATTGCTAACGTTCGCCCTTGTAGTCCACGATTTAAGAATATCACGACGTACTGGCCCAACAGTTATCAGAGGTGGATGAGGGTTTTGAGCCGAACACTGATTGGAATCGGCTCAAGTGTGCCATAAGGAATGCAACTGAGGTCCGTTTTATCTTCGGCTAGAGAAGCCAAAACTGTGAATGGCAGTCTGAAGGATCGATCAGTTTGATCGAAGCACGGGAACAGGTACTGATGGGCACTGCGTTTCATGGTGTCTGTAACGCTCTGAAATGGTTAATTTTACGCCCTTATTGATTTCATTTGCCATGTTTGCTCTTCTGAGCGATGTCCATCGGTTCTTGGTTGCTCAGCTGGCGTCTTTCTGTTGTGTACTTTGCTTCTTCTTATGTATAGTGGCACAATAGCTGTGGTGTTTTACACCTCTAGCTAAGGGGTATAACGATGATGACGCACAAAAACTGACTCCCAATTCAGCAAATCTACGCATCGAAATAGTTACGAAAAAGAACATGGATGGTGGAAAAATAAAAAACGTTTTGTTTCCTAAGAGAGAAGAACAAAGTGTAACAAACTAGGAACTTAAGAATCAGGAGCAAGAGGTGAGCAATGGAGCATCAGTGACTGCAACCGAAGCATATCTAACCGGACTGCCAATGTCAGATGATACGACCAATCTGGAAGTGATTTGGGTGAAATGCCAGCCCAGCACAGCACGCATCCGTACTAGGTTGAGAGTGTGCTTCCTAAAAGAGCACACCAGTCAGGAAAAAGGACCCAAACGATCCACATTTCCCAGTTTGTCAAACACAAACTGGTTACTCATTAAAGTGAGTAAACAGCAAGATTGACTTGATTAGAGAGCTCGTTGAGAAGTATACAGATAATTCGCAAAGATATGCAGTAATCTGGTCAAATTCCTAGGTCTTCATAACGATTCGAGTCAGGTGCTGCCTCCACTAGTGTACTGCATGTACTATGATGCACAATAGAGTTTCAGGAGCATATACAATCCCCAGACGCACATATCATCGGGCTAGCTGACAAAGGCCAACATGCGGCAACCGGAGTGTAAAAAATAAATCGGTGGTTGTCGCCACTTATTGATCATAACCGTTCAGGTGCGTTATATGGAAGTACAGAAGAAACGTTGAATATTTACGTTTATGAATAGTGAGCTGATGGTTCGTCGGAACGCTCCTCCACCTGTAATTGGAGGTGTCAGGAACGGGTATCGGCGAAAAGCAAGGTGCAATGTTTCAAATGCCGCCATTGTGCCACACACAAATCATCAGAAAAATATTGAGTGATAGCAAAACCAGCCTTGGGAGCTAATGTGACACACCTGGCATGGGAAGTGGTGAAATGAGTCGGAAATGGCAGTGGAGATCACCAATAAAACACTCCAAGTGATAATAGACTCGTGATTTATCAGTGATGATACAATTGGGATCAACGGTAAACCCACTGGTAGTGAGTATCCCAGCGCGTAACACATTGCCCTGATGAAACCGAAGTGCTTTTGAGAAGACAGCAGGTCACAAACGAATGCGAGGAACTTCAAAGCACAAAGCGCTGACCACAAAATCAAGATGAATAATGACCTAGCAGAAAACTTCGGATAAGATTATTACGTTCGATAAGATCATGCGGGCGTGCATCCCGGCCAGGTGCGTGTCCCCGAGAAGTGATGTCGCTGAAGTCGGCTGCCTTGCCGAACTGGGTGGTTCGGGTGTACTCCGTTATAGCGAAGTGTTCGGCGACAATATTCCACCACGGTGGGGCATTGTAGCCCAGCAATTGTGCTGAGTTCATGGGGAGTATTAGGCCCATGTTTGGTGATCAAACAAACAAACGCATGAACTGAACATTCAGTCAGCGTCTCCCAATGGGCGCGATTCCCTGAATTTACCCCGCTGCCTTGCGAGTAGGTTATTTAGCCAAAGGCTAGGGGTAAAGTCCCCTAAGTTAACTCACTACTTCGGCTTGGGCAACCGGGTAGTATCACGGCCTCTCACAAAATCATGGACTGTACTACAACGTGCTCACCAGCTACCGTTTCTGCTTCTCACATTCACGCGACTTCATCACACGCCAATCCTTCCTTTCCGTTACCCGATTCATGTGTTCAACAATCTGGCTGCGATTCCGGTTGCGCCGCGGACCAAGGAGTTCAACCTATGGCCCTCCTTCGTCCCGATCCTCATTCCGCCTGGCGTGCTTCAACGTTCGGACACTCATGCAGCTTGGACAGCAACCCGGTTTAGCGCGCACCCTAGAGCCCCTACACATTGATGTCTGCTGCCTTTCAGAAACCCGGTTGCAAGATCCAATCCCTGTGCTTACATTGACATCCCCCACTGACCACGAAGCCATATATCACCTGCGTCTTTCGGGAGTTCCAGAAGCAGCCTCAGTGGGTTTGGTTGGTGTAGCTATAGCACTAAGTAGCAAGGCCGAGGCGGCACTACTGCACTGGTTCCCGATTAACAGCCGACTATGTGCAGTTCGGCTTCGGGGTTCATGTAGAATCAACAAGCACCGCGAAGAGAGACGTAACTTGTTTGCGATCTCTGTGTACGCTCCAAATGACTGCAGTGGCGACTCGGTCAAGGACGAATTCTACCGGGATTTATAACAGCTCTTGACTAATGCTAAAAAGTCGGATGTCGTTATCCTTGTTGGGGATTTTAATGCACGGGTTGGCCGCCTGTTATCATACTAGGGCTACCTTGGTGGTCACCACGAGCTCGATGAGAACTGCACTGATAACGGAGAAAGGCTTCTCACATTGGCGAAGACAACCATCTGTTTCTCTCGAGCACTAACTTCAGGCGTACGAAGAAGAGTTCCGCAACGTAGCGTCCCCGTTCGCCAACACAACCGTAGTCTCAAATCGATCACATTGCAAGTAGCTTCAGATGGCGTGGCAGCGTACTGGACTGCAGGTTCTTTTGGTTCACCTTCGTTGACTCAGGTCATGCACTGGTCCGCGCGAAAATCTGTGCGTGTTTTGGAGGATCCCGAAACACGAAGCACTGCAAGATTGATGTAAACAGCTTAACTGATTCCTCTGTCCAGGCGAGCTATCAGTCTTCACTAGCAAATGCTCTCTGTTGCAACCCACCGCAAGAAGTGGAACAACACTGGACTTGTATACGGAAAGCGATGACCATTTCCGGACAGTCATGCTGCGGCCTAACTCCACGCCCCTTGAAGGCTTGGATCTCTGCTCGTTCTCTGGAGCTGTTCGAACACCACAAAGATATACCGGCGAAATCAGATTGCAACGAGCGGTGAAGTTCTGCCAACCGGCTGCTCAAGCAAACCCTACGCAAGGAGCGCGAGGCATAGTGGTCTGAGCGTGCTTTAGAGATGGAGACCGTTGCACTCTCCGGCAACGCTCACAAGCTTTTCTAACTCATTCGGTCTACTGGCCCCAGAAAGCATGGTGTCAATGAGGTCATTTGCGAGGTAAATGAGCCTCCGATCACCAACCAACAGAGGCGTATGGGCCGCTGGGCCGAGCACTTTCACTCGTAGCACAACTGGCCTCCACCATCCATCAGTACAAGCAGTACACCTTGTCGTCCACCCTGAGTCCATCCAGCAAAGCGAAGTCTGCTTCGAGATTCGACGCTTGAAGTGGTTCAATGCTCATGGCTCTGACGGACTTACTCGGAAACTGTTCGAATACGGCGGTGTGGCGATCATTAACCAGCTGACCGCGCTGTTCGCAAAAATCTGGCATAAAGAGAAAGTGCTTTCCTCTTGGGGCGAATCAGTTATTGTCCCGATTTTCAAGAAAGGCGCTCGCACTTCATGTGCAAATCATCGCGGCATTAGTCTTATTTCGGTTGCCTCTAAGCTATTGGCATCCATTGTGCTTCGCAGACTATTCCCAATACCTGAATCATCCTACCGTGAAGAACAAGCTGGTTTTCGTCCCGGCCGCAGATGCCTGGACCAAATCTTCACGCTCCGCCAGCTCCTCGAACATCGCCACATTTATCACAGGCACACTATCGTTGCATTCCTAGACATACGCGCCGCATTTGACTCCGTTGATCGACCTGTTTTATGACGTTGCTTGCTAATAAACGGGGTGCCAGAGAAATACACCGCCATCTTACAAACAGTTTACCTTCATATATCTGGCAGAGGGAGGGTCTATGGCATGCTTTCCTCGCAATTCGCTGTCAATAGCGGTACGCATTTTATTTCAACCTTGCAATAGAATACCTTCCGTCGATCAGTTGTTGTGGAGTTCTCCGAGCTGGGCAACTTGGTTGCAACCAAGTTTCCCAGCTCGGAGAACTCCACAACAACTGAGCAAGCCTCCCGAGCTACCAATATTCCAAATCATTTCGAACCTTCCGTCGAATGCTCTAGAAGGTTTCCAACGTTTTGGCCTAGAGCTTCTACCGGGTGAGCGCGCGACCGACTTAGATTATGCTGATGATATCGCCTTACTTGGTAACGATCCTCAGGGCATGCAACTCATTCCGGATCGTTTGGCGACTGAAGCATCTAAGTATGGCATGAGCTTCGCCCCATCAAAGTGTAAAGTACTGCTCAAAGATGGGCATTCACCTCCTCCCGTGCTCACTCTCGAAGGCGCACAACTTGAACAGGTAGATAGTTTCGTCTACCTTGGAATCTGTGTTTCTGTTGACGGCACAATCAGCATTTGTCAAGCTGAGGCACTGTTGACGTCGTCGCGACGTCTCATTCTCGCTAAAGGGCCGCGTTTACAGCGTATCTGTTCACTCACTGTTGTTGTATGGGAGCGAATCCTGGCCGATTCGCGTGGAAGACATGCGTTGTCTTTCTACCGTCCATAACGGTTGCTTAAGGAGGATTGCTCGTAGTTGATGGCAACATCCAGTTAATAGTAATGACGTTCGACGTCGCATCTTGAGGAATGCGAGTATTCCCTTCAACAAACTGGTTTTGTTGTGCCGGTTAAGATGGCTCAGTCGCGTCCTACGCATGGCACCTGAGCGTCTACCGCGTCGCGCCGTATTCGCTCGTCAAGTATCTGGCTGGAGGCGAGCGCGTGGTCAGTCTTCTACATGGAGGTAGCATATGAAATCGTTGACGCCGTGCCTAGCCGCTGTTGGATCCGTACGTCTTCCAGGATGGAGACCCAAAGATGAGGAGTGCCAATGGCTTGACACTCTTGAAGACATGGCACGCAACCGAAATCATTGGAAGAATTGTGTACAGAATGGTAATGTTTGATACTTCAAACATTGAAAAGGACAGAAAAATAGAAAAATCGGAGTGTGAAAAACAAACTAAAAAGGTTTTGTCCTACTTTTTATCAAAATGTTCCATTCTTCCTGCGGCATATTAGCCTAAGTGTGTTGCTCACATTCACTAGCATGCAGCGATGATTATGACGCGATAACTTAGCCTTATCCGCTAATCTCCATTTTTTTGTTGGCTCTGTGTCTAGTTGCTAGACTGGTGAGATTACATGATTTGGCGGCGTCCGTATCCGGATTTGCCTGTCACAGTGACGTCCATGGTGACAGTCACAGGACGCCTGCGCCAACAAAGGGGACCATGGGTGGCTTGCGCTGCACCACCCACAGTTCCACCCACACACCCCATATCCGGTGTAAACCCGAAGGAATAAGACCGGGAGGCATGCGGATGGGAGCCACGTTTCATCAACGGAGCCGGCCCACACTCCTTCAACAAGCAGAACAGAAGCATTCCGGCCTAATTGGGAAATCATGCACACCAGACATACACATGGCGGTGGCTGGACCGTAGCCCGTTCCACACAGGATGGAACTGTTTGAGCCTAGCACCGTCACGAGGACAGTGCACTCCGTCCTCTCCAACGACGATCAACTGTCTCCTAGAGTCAGTATGGACGAGGTAGTGGGTAATAGACAGGTAGACACCTTGTCAACATTCACATCAGACGCATCCACACCGGGGAGCTCAAACAACATCTACTTCTGAAATGCACGATTACTCAGCACACAGGCAAACATACCACATATGCCGCCTTATTGGCGTGGATTAGTAAATCGAATGGAAGCGTACGCATCATGTTTCTATACCGCGCGCAATAGTACTTTCTCCTGCACCTGCGCAACCGCCCTTATGTTCAGTCCACGAAGTTCGCATCGACCAATTTTGCCTTGGATTCACAACACCTGAAATCAATATGAGTTTGTCATAAACTCACCTTCTTGATGTTCTGGTTTTCGGTTTGCTCGAGTGCCTTTTCCCTGCACTAAGTTAGCCGTACAAATGCGGTATGAGTATCCTCGTCGAATTCATTCGGTATACATATTTACAATGATTGGCGTCATCCGTATCTAATGGCAGTTCGAATACAACATATGTACATGCGTTTATCCAAACTGAAGTGTGAGCTGTCACAAACTGCATAGAGGCACATTAGACATCATCATCAATGGTACGACAAACGTGTATGGGTTCCGTCTGGAGGTAAGGCTAACAACCAATTTCGCAGGAATGAGAATAACTACCCAATACGAACTGTTGATGTTTTTTTCAACATTTAAACGTGACCGCCCTAAATCTTGGGC